AAATTAAATTAAAATAAATTATTAATAGATTATTTATTAAATTTAATCATTTTTTTTGGGTTGTGGATATTTCCGCCCACCCATACACTTTCCCTCGCTCATAAACTTCAAACAAGCCCCTGTTTTCTGCAGGCGGGAGACCAAAGAATGCAGAGGAGATGCCTAAGGCTCAGCTACTCTTCTGATGAAGAAGAAGATCAAAATCAACACCAACAACGCGATGATGAACTTCTGCACCAGAACCCCGACGTCCCTCACCAACCTGTAACGCTCTCTACTCCGAACCCTGACTCTAACCCTAGCCAGCCGGACCCAGTCCCAATCTCCGATGAAGACTTTGTTGACGTCTCCGAAAAGCTTACCCCTCCGTCTCCTCCGTCTTCTCCTCCATCGGTTGATTTGAGGCCCATGGAAATCTCTGATTCTCCGATTGGGGATGTGCTCCTGAGGGTGGGACTGAAATTGAGGGGAGAGTGGCTGGAATCTTGCCTTCGGGGACTGCAGAGCGTGGTTCCTGGGTTCCCTAGCCTTGATAATTTGGAAAAAGCGAAGCTGTGTTTCAAGCAGTTTTTGTTTTCTGATATGAATTACTCTGGAGGTGGCGTGCTTCCTGAAAATGTTGAGTCAATGCACCTTGTTGATCTTGCTGGGCCATTTGTGTTGCAGGTGTGATATCTTTTCTGTATCTGGTTGATTTATAGCAAAATGCTTTGTTCCATTTGGATATGAAGAAATGCTGAAGATTGCTACCCATTGCTGTGGTTATATGGAGAGTTTTCTATCAATGAAATTATAAATATACTATAAAAATAAGTCATTCATGCTATTGTAGGTGGTTTATCATATATGTCTACCATGCATGTTAATTAGCAGCCTATTTATTCATTGCCAAGCATCTTGGCTACAATGTTGGTTAATTGGTCCCAAATATTAGGGAGAATGAAGAACATAATTGGTTATTTGCAATTTGCTATCCAGCAAAATGTCTAAGAAAATACTACATATTAGGCACTCCCGCTACACTATATGCTATAGATTCTATCCCTAATTTATTGGAAAGATTTTTTTTTATTGTTAGTCTTAGATCTTTGGAAATTTCATTAGTGGGTGGAGAGGTGCTCATGTTGAGTCTTATGTTTTACAGGTTGATGAGATGGTTAATATCAGTTGTCCCCTTCGAAGCAGGTATCAGGATGCAGCTTCTGGAGTCAAGAGGTGTCTCAAGTTATCTATGACAGATGGTGTCCAACGTGTGTTTGGTATGGAATACCGGCCTATCAAAGGTCTTGAAGTCTTAGCTTCTGCTGGATTGAAGGTTCTTCTGTTTTCTCTTTCTATTGACCATTGGTGGTTTATATAATCTAATGACTGCTTGATAGTGCTTGATTTGAATGCCTGCCTGAAGGGAAACATGCTGTCTCATTGATTCCACTGAGCAAAATGATATGAGCACTACACAAGTTTTAATGATTATGACCAAATTCAAAAGTAAAAAGTGATCATTTCTTGTAAATTTGATTTGGGTCTATATGTTATCAGGATAGCTTCCCATAGTGGCCTATTTCCTATACTTTTTACTATAAGTTTTTAAAAACTGGGAAAATAGTAATTATATGCATCAACCAGTGATTTTGTTGTTATGTATGCTGACTTTTCTTCTGCAAGTTCAACTAAATTCTTGTAACTGCAGCCAAATCTCTTTACTTGTTCATGTTTAATTTTTGGTAGGCTGTTGATAACATATGTATGGTGGTTGCTACAGTGGTTGCTTTACTAGTTAACTTTTTCTTTATGCCAACCAAATGAGGAAGAGCCATTGTTCGCCAAAGTTTTATATTGACACATTATGTCTCAACTTGCAGGTAGCCATCTGTAATGTACACATTAGGCATGGACTTCTTATGTTGGTCCCTGAAGCCTTGGAAGTTTTAGGGGGAGTAGTTGAGGAGTTAGATGAGGCCCGACAGTGTCTTGTCAGTGAAGTAAATAAGCCACCTAGGGGTAAAAGGTATTTGTATGATGCATTTATTGTTTCAGCTCATCTTGTACCGCCTAAATGCCTGATTTATTAGAAAAGTATTTTCATCTGTTTGAAGTGTCATTGCAGTGTATTTAACTGCAGTATAGATCCAACAAGAGCTTAGCCAAGTTGGTACCCACTAACTTAAAAACTTGAAATTGTGGGTTAAGGTTTGGGATTCAACCATCTATGATAGCTTAGCACTAATTTTTTTTCAAATAAAAAAAAAAAAAAAATGGAAAAACCTTAACTGCATGATGGTTTTGTTCTCAGTATGTCCAACTTAACATGTTATTGGGCAAGAAAAATAGCAACTTCAATCCTGAAGCTGTGTTATTGTGCAATTGCCATGAATCATTTGATAACTTTCTGTGCACACAACTCCTTTAAGCAGATAAAGATTGAGAAGTATAATTCTGAACTGTAATGCTGACCCATCAGTGCATGCATGCTTTTTTATATTTATTTATGTGGATGGAAAAACCTGATGTCCCTGAAATGTATTTTAAGGGAAAAATAGTTTGTTGTGTAATTACATCATGAAACTACAGTAGTTTTTGAACTGAAATGTATATTAGTATTGCCTCTTTTTGATGAGTGAGTTGAATTATTGACTCTTGAAAGATTATTTGGACTGTGAATCTATATTCTTCTGTATTTTAAACCTTCTTTTTATCAATTCTCAAGCAGAACAAGGACAGGAGTGATTCCTCCCTTAGCAACTAGAGCAACTCTGGCTGCATGGCCATCCAGTGGTGATAATTTTCTTCAGCACACCAATACTTCAACGTTGCAACCTGCAGCTCCCTGTCTGACACATGAAAGAGGTTCGTTTATTTGTTTGTTTCTTGTTTAACTAATTGCAACAAGTTTTGAGGCACTGTGCAGATATTGTCATAAAGAGTTGCATTTTACATGTGGTACTGAATATCAATTTTTAGGGGGGTTAATGTTTTCTGATACCTTCTATAATATGAATCTTGGGAATTCATTTTGTTATCTATGTTGTGCAGAAAGAATAAAGGTGAAAGTTAAAGAACCTTTTTCTATCCATTTAGTTAACCTTGAGCTTTTCTTTCTTGCTGCTTTGACAAGTCATGTAAAGTCTATAGGAAGGAACTTGAAATTTTAGGTTTATGCTTTACAGATTTGCTTGGACACATTAGCTATTTTAATGTGTACCTTTTTATACATGTTAGTGAACATTATGCACTTTTTGTTTTATTCATTGTTAATAAATTGTGCATCAATATGTAAAGCTCTTAAATGTAATGAACGAAATTTAAGAGCTCATGAAAGCTTCTCTTTCTTTCTGGTGCTTAAATAGTCCAAAAGCCCAACCATATTGTTTGTCCTCATTACTGGATAAATTTAGGAGGTTAGGTAGTTGAAAAGTTCTTCTTTGACTGAGTCTAATTTAAGAGTAGTTTTGCCTGTATTCATTTACTTCAGGTGCTAGTTTTGTTCCTTCAAGCAATTATACTAGTCAAAGAACTCCAGAGGAGCCTACTGTTCCCAGTGGTAGATTGAATGCTGTGCCTAATCCATCACCTGACATTGCTTTGGATGTTCAGGAGATGCATATCAATACTGTTCCCATTAGCAGGGGAAATGCTGAGTATAACTCAAACTCTAATACTGTATCCGATGTGAATGACAATCCTATGGTTGATGAGGTGGAACATCCTCTCATACTTTCTGGAGACCGTGAAGTTCCTTTTACCTACTTAGCTAGTTTGTCAGCCAAGTGGGCTGCAATGAAAGAGAAAGCTGCATCTATTCAGGGAAAAATTAAGGTATATGTTGTTTCTATTCCTTCATTGCTTTTACCCATTTTGTTGGCTTTCGAATTGCATGAAAATCCTAAAATAGATTTGACCTGATTTAGCCTAATTTCTCTTAAGTCAATTGAATGTATCCCAATCAGTGTCTTCAAAATATCAATTATGTAGGCGTACCAATAATATCAATTATCAAGTAATCTTGTTTGGAGTTCTCTGTGCTATATATTTTCTGAAATTTAATGAGAATTTTGTAGTGTTTCTTAACTGGAGTCAAGGGCTTTCAATACAAGCGAAGAACAAAGTATGAGCTACTATGTTATGTTGATGATGGCAGCCTCATTTCTGAGATCCTCATTGATCACAATGTGAGTTCATGCTCAGACGTCACAAGATGGATTTTGCCAAGCATGAAGGAGAAACAAGCTTCTAGAGCACCATAGTTTGCTATCTTAGTCTTTCTCATTAATTTCTCTTCAATACTGAGAGCTTTGACTTTACCTACAGTCCTTTGAGCTTGATTGAATTTAGTAGGTTAAGATGTCATTCTTGTTTGTCAGGTTGTGCAGAGAGGGATAGGACATTCTCCAGAAGAGGTCACTGCGGCCCTTACTTCCTCAGACATGAAAGTAGTTAATGGTATGAAGGAGACAATGAAGCAGTTCCAAATATTCTTAGTGAATTTTGAGGTAATATAGCTCAAACTTCAACTACTTATCAAATATGAATTTGTACTGAACTTACTAGTCACAACTAAATGTTACAGTGTAGTTTCTTCTTAGGAGACAATATCCTGTAAATGCTAAAATGCTGTAGTGTTGAGAATCAAGTAGTAACTTCATGGGGTCCTTCATCGCCAGAAAATGTTTCGTTTCAGGGTACAATGCTTGTAGAGATCAACAAATCATCTACTCTTCCTATCGCCCTTGAAATGAACCAGGGCTGTTCTGCATCTGATGCATGGTTACTTCTTAGAAGGCTAAAGTCTTCTGTTTCTTCCCTGACTCCCAAACAACCCTTGGATTTCGTTGACATATCCCCTTGAATTGGTTTTGGCTCCGCCTAATAACCACCCTTGGGAAGAAATGGAAAGATTGAAGAGCCATGAGATTGGTTTCATGGATATCTGCAGCCGTTCTGCACTGTGATTTCAGATTTGGCCGGATTCTCTATTGGTTGTCGCAAGTGATTCATGAGAAAGGAAGTTGTCAAAGATATTCATTGTAGAGGAGTAGGAATCCCTCGTTTCAATTGAAGTGAGTTTCATGGGTTGAAGTACATGATCATATATTTCCATACCCATTATGCTCACTAATTTGTACAATGTCCGGTTGATCAATTCCTGTCATTCTTTAAGACCACGGAATACTCATTTGTCTGGTTGTCACTTATTTGTCATATATCCGCTAGTACTTGATTAGCTTGTACGGTTGTACATAGTTATAAAGATGGGTATGTTACGTGACCGAGGCCAGTTCTGTTATATATCTCAGGAAATTGGATAGATTTTCCTTCATTGTAGTTGTTAGATGCAGGATCTACTTGCTAGCTGCTTCTCTCTGTGGAGTGCCAGCTCTGGTTATTAAAAGCAAGCGGTTGCACCATTCTGGTATCTCAGGCCAAGGCACCTTCCAGAGCAATGTCACCTCAGCCCAAGATGGTACTGTCAGGTATTTCTCTCCTCGAAAGGCACCATCAACTATTGCCTTGGCACAATTCTCAGCTGACACTAATGGCAGGAAAGTGATTTGATCCTAGCGCCATTTACGAAGTACTTAGAGGTGAATTGATTGACTGATGAATTTCAAAACTTAACTGGAATGCAGCATTTAAAGAAGGATTTGTTTTAGTGTACAGGTTAATTATTATTAAAAAATACAAAAATTATTATTGATTTCATTATTAGCGACATGTAGATTATTTTAATTAAATAATTATTTAAATAAAGATTAATTTTTATTTTTTTAATAATAATTAATGAAAAAAACGTAGGCCTTTAGAAAAGGGTTCTAAAACCTTGCATCTATTGTTTCTTTATCTGCTTTCAATTTGCCTTCCCTTGATAGGAATTTCCCTTGTGTCATTTCTGAATCGATCAATCTAACGGTCACAATTGTAATTCCAATGGTTCCAAATTCAATCCTTAATGTATCGTACATGCGAATGACCGCTGCTTAGCTAGCCTAGAGATATTCTGTTATTAGAATCGATCATGTGTTAATATATGTTCAAAAAATAAATCACGTTGGTTAGATATTTCACATTATAGAAGCCCAGTTTTGGAGCAGGTGACCATTCAGCACACGAAGCGATGGCTATGGTCCTTCCTTTGCTCCTTTCCCGGTGAGGATATGCAAAATAAGTGCAATATACCGAACCCCAGAAGTTTATGTCCTATCAAAAGAGGTGGACCGAATTTAATTTGCTAAAACCCAAGAAACATTTTTTATATTGAACTTCACCATAACTGGGACAGCATTAGTTATATCATCAAAATCTTCAAACAAGCTGCGCGAAGCAACTCCAGCATTGGTCACCAAATGATCCACTGTTATTCCCATCAAAATTAACACAAAATTTAAAGACGCTCAAGATGTGAAAAATATGAAGATTAAAATTTCTTGTTCTTCATCAGCTTACGTTTTCCGTAGTGATTTACAGTGGCATCCACAAAGCGCTTGCAGTCTTCAAGGTTGGAGAAATCACGAGATGAAAATGGCACGAGGAGAGCCTATAATCTGTGCTATAGCGGCGACTTCGCGGAGACGGTCCTCTTTTCTGGCAACAAGTGCCAAACAAGCTCCACTGCTTGCATTCTCGTAAGCCAGATGCTTCGGAAACAGACACAAAGGATACGATTAAAATCAGAAGACTATTTGTTATTTTTGAGAAATTTATGATCTAGGCTAGCTAGCTAATTAACTGGTGCATACCTGGCCGATATCAGAGGATGCTCCGGTGATGAGGACCACTTTTCCGGTGACATCTTCACGGATTATGGTTCTTGCAGTGGAAAGGACGTACTTAACTAATTGTATGGTCGGAGGAAGAAGAAGAGTGCAATCAAGGCTATAGGAGCGAATATAATCTATATATATATATATATATATATTAAAACATAAATCATTCAAGGTAAGTAGTAGCAAGTTACACTTTTACAAGTCATCTTTAATATACTCTTTTATTGTCATGTGTCAATATTTTCGTTATTTGATATATCCATCATTTTACTTTAGTTTTTTTCTCCCTTTATTAATTAATTTCAGCCTAACATTTTTTATTATCCTCATTAAATTTAAATTTCAGCCTAGCATGCACTCTTCTTTTTCGTTTTTATTCTCCCAACTAACTAATCAAACTTTAATTACAATGTTTTATTTGAAAGATATATTTGCTAATTTATGATGATTTTAATTTTTTTTTTTAAATTCTACTATGGTATGTCCATCAGATTTTTTTTTATTATTTAATGAAAATTTAATTTTAAATCTTATATAAATAAAAATAATTTAACAAAATACATTATAAGTATACCAAGAATTCTTATAATGTCTATAATACCCTTTTACGATGTAATAGTTAAAATATTAAATTTTTTATCAATTAATATTAATTAAATAAATTACTATAAAATTAAAAAATGATAATTAAAACTCTCTATTTTTCTCACTAAGTTTATTATTAGATGTGAATATATTTTGTTCAATTCTAAATTACTTGATATTTAAACTATTTTTTTTGTTTGATTAATACAATTAAAAATTTAACAACTGAAATATTTCACTTTGGTTAATAAATAATAATTAAAATATTTTGATTAATTACATGAATTGTATTAATAAAAAAAATCAAAATCTTAATAATTTAAACTAAAATTTTGAATTATTTTCAGGTATTAAAATAAAAATCATTAATCAAAGTAATAAAAAAAAAAAGAGAGGGAGAGTTTTGTTTATTTTTATTTTTTAATTTTACTACTTATTTAATTAAAATTAATAAGTACTTAACATATATATATATGTATTATAAAGGAGAAACCATTGAGGAAAAAAGTTTAATTTGTCACATTTCATATTCATGTTTCTTCTTTAATTTATTCCTTTTTAACACGTGACCTGACTTTTTTTTTTGGTAAATTTCTTTCTTTTGTATTCTTTTTTAAATGTGATGATTATTATTATTATGGTTTATTTAATTTATGCCCATGAGACAAAGATTAAAAGTGTCTTAAATATATATTTTTATTATAAATTTTTTCTCATTAATTTTATTATTAGATATGAACATATTTTGTTTAATTTTAAATTACTTGATATTTAAAATATTTTTTTGTTTGATTAATACAATTAAAAATTTAGCAACTAAAATATTTCACTTTGGTTAATAAATAATGATTAAAATATTTTGATTAATTACATGAATTGTATTAATAAAAAAATCAAAATTTTAGTAATTGAAACTAAAATTTTGAATTATTTTTAGGTATTAAAATAAAAATCATTAATAAAAGTCATAAAAGAAAGGAGAGGGAGAGTT